CACTCACTTTTCCCTCTTCTCTTTTAAGCATAAGACTGTCCAAAAAATGATAACTTGTTACACCTTCCAATATCTTGCTACTTTAAACCATGCAACCAATGAGCTGAAAAAAGGCATCCTGCATGTTGCTTGTTTTGACAAAATACTGCACACTTCTCTTTCCCTTATGCGCACAAAAAGAGTGCAACAATGCAAGTGTTGTACTTCCCTATTCCTTCTATTCTCAGCACTGATTTGAGGAGAAAGAAAGTTAGAAAATTTCCTACTCCTCTTCCATATTTTCTTTATAGACCGTGAAGGTAGTGGCCCTAGATAGCCATCCAAGATTTTAAAACTCTATCATCTCCTTTTTCTTTTTCTAAACCGTAGCATTCTAAGAAAAGACCAAGAAATTCCAAATTATTTCATCTCTTGTTCTCATGTAACCGTGACCAGCCCCACCAAAAAGAAAAAAGAAAAAAATGTTAGCATCATCTTTCACTCATCTCTACCTTATATCTTAAAACCGTAGCACAAAGAGAGAAGGAACTCAAGAAATAGCTTCACCTTCTCCTCCAATCTCTTACCCTCAAAACCGTGGATAGCTAGGGAGTTTTACCATCATGTTTTCGTTTTCTTTGGTCTCCATTAATCAGTCGTAGTCCATAAAACAAGGAGGTAACGTATGGTTGGGTTTCTTGATTTTTTTTATGGTGAGATTCCACTGTTAAAGGAACTAACTTAAGTAAACGTTTCTTCTCCACTCTTTTGCGCACAGCCACCATCAAGGAAGGCTGGACCTGCTGTCTTTGTGGAGCACAAGGGGTTGTGGTGTTGTTCCTTATTTCACTGTATTCCTAGTGTGCATGTAAGAGGTAGACTCGAAACCCTCACTTTTCCTCTGCTCAAAACCGTAAAGCATGGCTAGGAGATTAGTTCTTTTGTCTATTTTTGGTTTCATAAAAATCTGCCATGTCCACTCTTTGAGTATTAACTTGAAAGCCTAAGAACTAAACGTGGAAAGGATACTCTAATAACTTTTGGGACTGAGTTGGTACATTTAAGAAATTTGTCATGAATATAAGTAAGTGGACAACATGTTTAAACTCCTAAAAGCGCACCTATGGAGTATTTGTGTTGGATTAATGATCATTACTGTTTTGGTAAAAATGAAAACGGTTTTGCTCACTGTGTTACTAAAGAAATGCTCACTGTTTTACTAAGGAAATGCTCACTGTTTTGCTAAAGAAATACTCACTGTGTTACTCACTATCTTACATGAAAAAGTTCACTGTTTGATATGAAAATGTCACTGTTTGGTTGGAAAAAACACTCACTGCTTTGTTGAAAAATGCTGCCGTACATTGAAGTTTCTGTTCACTGTGGCGCTGAAAAATATTAGACAGCATGCTATATGATATAAGTAGCGCATCATGTAGGAGAATTGGAATAAAATAAAACTTTAAGGCCTTGTTCTGTTAAAACCTAATGGGATTGAGGATGAAAAATCGTAGAATATTTCATTATTTAACATAGGTTGGGGCTGTGTATTTTATTAAATTAACTGGAAATTTTCCATAGAATAAACATGAAAAACCGAAGCTATGTAAAGTGGAAACCGTAAATATATATATCTTTACTGTTTAACGTTAAAGAAGACAAAAAATTGAAGTCAGAATAATTTTGGGAGAAAATAAACATGTTAGCCGAATGATATATGGACATTTTAGGCTTGGAGTATTGTTGTTCAATTATAAAAATAATGGAAACATACGCTGATTTGTATGCTTCTAAATTAGGTGCGAAATTTCCTTGAGACATTGGACTGTTTCACTGCTTACTGGTAAATTAAGGTTTCAACGTACGAGGTATGTGTTAGGCGGTATTACCTGATGTGACTATTGCCTAGTGTATGAATTGTGAATTGTTGCTCACATGTTCCTTATGATTATTTTGCCATAAATGATGAAATTATTATGCCTATGGAAATGTTATGATTATGGAAATTCTGTTATGAAAAGAAAGAATGGCTTGCCAGTATGACATCCAATGTACATGAAGTATATGTTATGTAATGATGATATATGCATGCACCGTGCATCATTCCGAACTTGTCTTTTTGTTTGTGTGTGACAGCATAGCATGGCTTGCATGTACCAAATTCATGATAGTCTTGAGTCTTAGAATAGTTATATAAATAGAACCATGTGATTGAGCACGCATCATATAGGCATCCCTTGATATCAGGGTACTGGGACAGTTGGCGTCAGTCCGTATAGGCCACAGTGGAATTCCCCAAATGATGGTGCCGTGCATGGAATTTCCACTGTGATGGCATGCGCACGACGGTGCTATGAGCGTGATGAAGTCGTTATATACTCAATATGATATATGATCAAAAGGATATATGATGAAAAGGTTATATGATGAAAAGGATTTCATGTTTGAAACGACTGTTTATATTTTGTGCCTAGTTTAATACTGTTGCATTATTGGTTTTGTTGCCACACTACTGGGATTTTTCTCACCCCTTTGGGGCTGCTATTTTTACAAAATGGCAGGAGGACGTAAAAGCTTTTGAGGACTTGGATATTTGTTGTTGGCTTCTACTGTTTTGGGCATGCTGCTATTGATGTGCTATTTTATGGATGACTGTATGAAATTGAGAAGCTTTTATTACTGTGAACTATGATTTTATTATTGCATTACGATTTTATGACCAGCAAGTATTTTGGAAACAGATGTTGAAACGTTTGCGAAAAGGATTTTGACATGTTATCTAAATGCTGAGTTTTGAAAAGTCTTTGAGAGCACTTTCTAAGTTGTCGTACTGGGGCTACGGACCTCCGATTTTCTTATAATTTATATGCACGCGTAGCCCCAGGTGTCTAGTTTCATTATATATAAACCTTGCAAAGAAATTCTGAAAGCTCGATTTATTATGAATTTTACCAGCCAGGACGTTTGTGTTATTTTCACTGTTTTATCTCTTATTTTGCGAGTTATGTTTCGAGGGGAAAACGAACTCCAAATCACTATTATTTTATATGAACGTAAAGCCTCAGATGTCTACTTTCCAGATTAAAACGAATATTTTTTGAATCGGTTAACTGGATTTTATACGAATTTTTAAAGACAACAAGGTCTATCAGGAAATTTATATTTTTAGTAAGTTGAAGAAATTTTGCGTACTCTGATTTTTGTAATTAACCAGATCCCCTCTTTAGTTTTAATTGGCAATGTAAAAGCAAATTTTTTCAGCCTCTAAAATACTATTAAAGAACTCTAATTCCGCTTAGCAAACAACTCTCTTGGAGGCCTACAAGAGAGGGTGTTACAGATAGGGATGTGCCATACACCATTTTTAAGCTTGAGATGTCCTCTATCTTGTGGAGAAATTTGGTAAAAATCTGGGTTGAAAGTCGGCCTGTAGAAGGCAGGGAACGCAGATTGCCCATTTGCTTACTGCACATGTGGCAGTTCTGGACCGGTTTTGGAAAATTAATTCTCGTTGCGTTCCTTGGTCAAATTAGGTGTATGATATATCAAATTGAATCTTGAGGTGTCTAGTTTGTTGTATAAAAATTTGAGAGCAATTGGTTGAGTGTATTTTCTACAGTAATTCGTGGAGTGAGGGATGTTTGGAGCTGTTTTGGGGTTGGCTGACAGCTTTGTTTTTCCAACTTCAAACGGCGATATAGGGAGCAAATAAGCTCTAAATAACTCGTGTGACATCTTCCTAGAAAGGTAATTGAGTCTAGAAAAACATACTAAAAGATGAGGAGTGCGCGTCATGCGGTTTGTCCGCAGAAAAATAAAGACCAAACCATGTTCGGATAGGTAGAAAACATAAAAGTGAGATTTTGGCTAAGTGGGTTTATGGGAACCCCTTAGTGACTTGTAGTAAGTAAAATAAGTTATAAAATTAGTCTAAATAATTATTCCGCAAAGAGTTTACAGTTATGGTCACAGCTTTTAATTATTACGCTTTTTATTGTTTTAAATACTCGCGTAATGACAGAAAAAGTTACTCGCATTTTTATAAATGAATTGCTGTGATTGTAACTGCACTTAATATCATAATTAATGTTAACAATACCGGTGTACAACGGGCTATTACAATTGTCCAACATCATTAGATCAGAATCTCAAGAGGAAATGGAAAGATAAACGTTAGTTGAGATTTTGATCTAATGGTGTTTTATAGTGATAGGCAAAGGTAGGCAGAAAAAGAGGTAGGTTGAATAACCTATCCATATAAATATGCATGGTCAATTAATGTAAGCAGGTCAACCTTATCTTGACATTTGTAAATTCATATTCTATTGCTTGTTAATTAATGTAAGAAATCCAATATTATTTCTCTGTCTCAATATAATAAGCTGAATAATTAAATTATATTAATTAGGGATTAGTGTGTAATTATGAATTAATTAGAGGAAAAGTATATTTTAGAGCAAGGTCGTTTTTGAGGCAAAAGTGCAAATAATGAAAGTATTGGAGTAAAGTACAATTATGCAAAATGAGTGAGACCCAAAATTAATTAAGTGTGTATCACATCCCACTTAAGCCCATTAATTTATAAACCTTAGTCAAATGGATAAGTGTGATTGTGGAGGATAAAGACGGCTATAAAGGTATTTTTGCCTTTAGATATTTCTAAGTGTGGGGAACACTCCCTCTCTCCTCACTCTCTTTCATGCTCCATTTTCCTCTCACTCTCTTCTGTCTACCTGGTCCTCTCCGACATCGTTGTCTTAGAGAGAAGGAGAGAGTGATTGAGTGCTATGCGTTGTTACATAGCGCTTAATTCTTAATCCATAATATTTTTCTCAGTGTTTAAAAATGGGGAAAAATATGGAAAAATTAAAAAAAAAAAAAAACAATGAAAAGATATAATAGAGAAGCAAATTCGATTACAAGGAAACGAGCACGACATTACAAAACAAGTACCAAGAAAAAGTGAACGAAACCAGAAAAACAAAATCATAAAAAATACAATCACGGTTAGCAAAGTTGTTTTAGTGATTGATAACAAAGTTCTTCACTTCAGTACTAAATTGGGAAAGTGCCCTTGTGGAAGACCCATCATCTTTTAGTGCATCAACAGCTGCTTCTTTGAGCTCTACAATTCTTTGACGAGCACCATGACCTTGTTCACCCACCAGTAGACCTTTTATCACTTCAGCAATTGCCTCCTTTTCCACTATGCCATTTCCACAACATTTTGGCCTTAGTGCCACGTTTAGGCCCTCAGTTAGCAAAATTGCATTCATCATTAGCTCACCAAATAATAATGGCAAGGCTATCATTGGAACTCCCGCTAAAATACTCTCGAGGATTGAATTCCAACCACAATGTGTTAGGAACCCACCAGTTGAAGTGTGACTAAGGATTTGGGTTTGGGGTGCCCAAAAAGGAACAACCAACCCTTGCCCCTTTGTTCTCTCTAGGAACCCATGTGGCAAGAATAGTAAAGGGTCATTATTTGTAGAACCAAGGTAATTACAATTTCTTGGGTCACTTGGTGCTCTCAAAACCCACAAGAATTTCTGACCACTCAACTCCAACCCTAAAGCTAGCTGATCGAGTTGTTCTTGAGACACAGTGCTTCCACTTCCAAAGGACACATACAAAACCGATTTGGGCTTCTGGTTCTCCAACCACCTCAAACACTCGGACCCATTTGATTCATTAATTGGCCCAATTTGTATAATTGGCCCAACCAAATAAACAGGGGCATTCTTATTGGCTCTATTACATTCCTGGAAGGCTTTCAGAGTACCTTCCTCCATTTCTAAGAAGCTATTAACCAAGAAACCATCAGCGGTAGAGATCCTCTTGGAATATTGGAGAATTAAGTCATAAGCAACATTAGACCGATCTTCGAAGTGTTCAGGGAGATCGCGGCCATGAATAGGTACACAGCCTGGGATTTGAATAGGCCTTGTATGATCTTTGTATTCACATGAAACTTCCTCATGCAATGTTGGCAAATGTAGGAGCAGTGCCAGTGCCATGGCGGAAATAGGGAGGTATACGTAGGATAAGAGGTTGAACTCCTTTGCTATTTTTAAAGCTTCATTTGCAAAAGGATCAGCTACCAAAGCAACCAGTGGCGTGGTTGAACAGAGTGACCCCAACGTATCACGAAAATATGGCATTGACTGAGACACTGCAAGATTGCATTGCACTGCTTGCGAAACATCTTGTGGTAAGTCTTGTTTGTTAACCGGATGGAGGAAAGTGTAGTCTATGTTGGAAGGAAGAGAGTCAAGGAATGCGAAGCTGGAGGGATTAGGTGTACCAATGGTAGGGAAAATGCAAGTGACATGGATGTTGGGATGGAGATGAACGAGTCTCTTGCAGAATGCAACTATTGAGGCTTGGTGGCTAAATGAAGGAATTGAAATGACAGCTATATGGGTTGCTTTGGCCATGGAACCTATATTGCTCATGTTAGACTTTATGGTGTAGTGTGTGAGTGTTTGTGGTTGCCCATATATATATATATATATATATATATATATATATATATATATATATATATATATATTCTTTATTTTGATAAATAAATAAAAATATATCAAAATAATCTGTAGACTTGTAAATTTGTATTTTTTTATTAATGCATATTTAATATGGAGAAGCCTTTGTGTGTTGGGAGATGTATATAGATATATTTTTACTTTTGGTCAAATAATGTAATAAAGGCAACCTTATTCTGAAATTTTTAATTATATTTTTTTATGCAAAGTCAACTAACATAAACATATATGCTTATTTTACTTATAGTCAATTAATGGTTCATTAATATATATATATATATATATATATATATATATATTTTATATTGGTCAATTAATACAAACGTGTCAATCTTATCTCAAGACTTATATATTTATAGTTTTTTTATTGATCCTCAATTAATGTGGAGAAGACTTTGTGTGTTTGGTGATGTATGCACATTTATTTTTACTTTCAGTCAATAAAGGTAATAAAAGGAACTTGTTTTGAAATTTGTAAATATATATTCTTCAATGTAAAGTCAATTAATATACACATGTGAGTTTATTTTGCTCATAAGTATTTAATGCAGTGTTATTAAATCAGACTCAACTACGTCGGGTTGATCGAAAACCAATAACCTAATTGATTTGAGTTAGCCAATGGATCAGCCATGCAATAGACCGATGAGAATCACTTTGACCCGGCCGATTTTTGTCAAAGCCAATGACCCAATCAGTTTTTGTTAACCCGGTCGGGTCATGCATATTTTTAAAAAAAAAATTAATGTGAAACATGTAACAGACCGTTGTACACCGGTATTGTTAACATTAATTATGATATTAAGCGCAGATACAATCACAGCAATTCACTATAAAAATGCGAGTAAACTTCTACCGTTTATTACGCGCACATTTAAAATAATAAAAAGCGTAATAAATAAAAGTTGTGACCGTAACTGTAAAATCTTTGCGGAATAATTAATTAAACTACTTTTATAATGTATCTAACATCTCTCAAGTCACTAAGGGGTTCCCATAAACCCACTTAGCTAAAATATCTCATTTACGTTTTCTACCTATCCGAACATGGTTCGGTCTTTAATTTTCTGTGGACAAACCACATACTACAAGCCTATCATCTTTTAGTATGTTATTCTATACTCAATTAACTTCCTAGGAAGCTATCACACGAGTCATAAAGTTCTCGTTTGCTCCAGATATCGCCGTTTGAAGTTGGACAAGAAAATCTGCCAGCCAACCCCAAAACAGCTCCAAACAGCCTTCACTCAATCACTCATTCTGAAACATCCACTCACCCAATTGCTCTCAATGTTTTATGTAACAATCCAGACACATCAACCTTCAATTTGACATATCATACACCTAATTTGACCAAGAAACGAAGCGGGAATAATTTTCCCAAACTCGGTCCAGGTCAGCCCCATGTGCACGGGCCAACAGGGAAGTCTGTGTTCTCTGCCTTCTACAGACCGAAGCCCAACCCAGAAAAATCCCAAATATTTCCACAAGATAGAGGAAATCTCAAGCTTCAAAATGGCGTATGGCACGTCCCTATCGGACTTCTGTGGAGGGAAATATGCTCTCTCAAAGTTCACCTAATTTATGCCAATTTCTAGAAAACTCGCCAAGTTTCCTTTATTTTTCCAATAACCCCCAAGTTTGCAAAAGTGTTCCATGACCCCAAATTCTACCTAATAATCATTGGGTGGCACACAAGGATCAGCAATGCCTTGGTATTCTTACAACCCACACAGTTTATATCCAAGTTAATCATTATACATCATTCATGCTTACTTCCTCAATTTAATCAATTTCAATCACAATATTCATTTTCATGCTTCTTGCAACATAAAACATAAATCAATCCTAGAATAGACCTATTTCTCTTTCATCATATTACATACTTCCATATTACATCAAGTCTTCATGTACAAATTACAAATCCTCCAAATGACATAATACAATACTCCAAAATAAACATGATAAATCAAGACTAAACTTAGACAAAATACATCATGAACAAAATGATAATCATCTCGTAATCATATGCATTGTTCATGACCTAAGTCTAGCCTAGGCACAATGGCCAACAAAATGCAAAATAAGTAGTCCTACGTCGAAAACATCATACGGGCTTCTTGCTCGCTGCTCCAACTCCACTGCTACCTCCTGAAATAAAGCCCCCAAAGCGGGGTGAGATATACGAACATATCTCAGTAACCCAGAGGTTCTGGAGAATACTCCGCCCAATAGCTCACTTCGATGCATATAAATAATACACCATAACATCTGAAAATGGGATAAAGCAAGGGATTTAGTGAAATAGGGGAACATAAGGATACAAAATACGACGAAGCTGGAATGGTCAATGCCAAAACCACGCAACGTCCAGCCTATTGGCTCGGCAAGCCTATGGGTTTCAAACCAAGGTGTGTTCCCAGAACATCAAACCAAGGAACCCTCCATCCATAACCACCCGAGACTTCCTAGTGTGCTCCTATCCGGATCACACACCACGACCCCAGGTCAACTGGAACTCCCTCGCAGAGACCTATCCAGTGGAAGTCCGTAACGCCCGAAGGCAAACAGTCTACTGGCCAGAGACACGGTACATCCTATGTACCACCACACATACAATATGCATGAACATGTTATCCTATATTATTTACATACATTTCCTACCATTACCCTCGACGGGCATGGTGGAACACACAAGGGGATCAAACCCTAGTACCAAGAGGTTACCTGTAGAATCCTCTCCTACAGCTCCACTGCAATATATTTTCCGAGCTAGGTACACAACCAGAATGCCTACATAGAGGACATTCCCAATCAACTTCCATTCACCAATTACATGCCAATTCTCAAGCATAAATGCATAATTTAAAATACTCACCACAATCCTTTTGGTCTGGGACCAAGGGCAACCCACCGAGCTCACGGTTCAGGGTTCAAATCCGCGTACGACAACCTACATTGATCATATACGGATCATTAATATACGACAAACCCACCAAAGTACAAAAACATCGAAATCTCCTCCCCCCACTAGTGAGGTCCGACCTTTATAGTGTAAAATCACAAAATATTTTCTTCCATTTTCTTTTTATTTTTCTTAAGCATCCTAAGGCTACTACAATGCCATTTTAGGTGCCAATTTGCATCCTACATCATCCAAACATCGTTTTGCCAATTAATTCGCTCTAGGCACAATTTTCATTTCTACATAATCCCACCATTTAACAATCAATCCTACTCCACACCTCACACAATCATATTATTAACTCATACAAACATATAACAACTCAATTACACAATTCTAAACAATTCAAAATCACAAATTCATGGCATCATCCAAAATTTCCTAAGTTATGAGCACATTTCCTCAATAAATTTTATTGCATTTATAGCTCCACCACATCATTCTAAGACATATTTATCTAATACACAATTTCAATTTGAGCTCTCTAACTCCATAAATCAAGCATACAAGCCCTAGGTTTTCATGAAATCAAACTCATCAAATCAACCATGAGAGGTGTTGAAACTTACCCACAATCAAGTCACAAGGCTCCTCCAATTGATCCCTAAGCAAAGCTTGAGCAACAACTACAAAAACCCCAATTTTCTCCCCGAAATTCGTGGCTGAGTTTGTCTATTTTCTCATAAATGAGAGGTTTTCAAGGGAAACTAATCGGTGGAATGGGTTCGGGTGATGGTTTCCATCAAATTTGCTCACAAACTTTGGTTGATTTGGTGGTGTATAGAGGAAGTTAGAAGCAATTGAATTTTTTGAACAAACTTCTTTTTTCCATGGAGAACTCGGTCCTTAGGAGAGAGAAGAAGAAAGAAAGTGATGATGAATAGTTACACACACATGTGGCTTAAGTGGTTTAAGTGAGGTGGGCCCCACCGTCACCTCATGCGATTTTAAACTAATTCGAATTTCCCTCTGATTCCACTAAACGTCCATAAATTCATAACCTATTTAGAAACTCTAATTTTTAACATTAACCATTGTCCTTTAATTACCCTTGATCAGATGAATCCTGAGTTTTCCGGTCGTTCGGAGAAATTGAGTTTTAAGCTGTTACGTGCGCCGTAGGCACGCTTCCCCAAACTTACTGATTTCCGTCAATTTTCATCAGAAATCATATTTTCTAGTCCTACACACCATTTATAACTTGTATTCAAAACCTAGAGCTCAAAATTTAATCAACACGCTTTACGATGCAACTGTGCAGCAGTATTTTGACCCGGTAAAAACACTATTCACTGAAATTTTCCGAGACTTACCTAACCACTCAATTTTTCGTTCTGAATCCATTTCCAGGGTTATTTTTATCATTTGAGACCTCCTACTCAATTTTACCTTCCTAGGGCTGTGTGTTTGGCTAATTACCGTTTTACCCTTTCTTTGTATTTTAACATAATTTCCAGGATTTTCACTAATCCTCCCCTTTAATCCTCATTTAATATATTAATATATGATTTAGAAATGCGAGGTGTTATATTCACCCCTCCTTTTTGAAATTTTGTCTGCAAAATTGAATCATACCTGTCCGCTAACTCAGGATACAGCCGGAGAATCTCATCCTCCCGCTCCCAAGTAGCCTCCTCAAGTGTACGTCCTTCCCATTAAATCTTTAGCATCAAAATATTTTTGCTTCACTACTAGAAAAATCTTGTATAGAGAGGGAATTTCTATGCAAATTCCGCCGCTAATTTCATCCTCGCTACTACTTTCCCTCGCAAAATCGTTTGCGAGGGAATTTGCCAGGGAAAGTAGTAGCGAGGATGAAATTAGCGACGGAATTTTCATAGCAATTCCCTCGCTATACAGGATTTTTCTAGTAGTGCTTCTCAGCCTCTTCTCACTGCGGTCAAGGACATCAATAGGACCAACAGGA